CCCTCCATCCTTGACACCTGCCCTGACTAAGGTGGAAATTAACCAGCAGGTACAGCCCAAGAAACACGTTTCAAATGAACACATTCTTCTCCAATATTTTTCTAAAGTGCGAATTGAGGAAAACCCTGCTCGTCTGCACTGCAGCACACGAGGGCTGCTGAGAGCCTTTTAGAGCCTCATTCGCTTCTATCAAAGAACAGAGGCTGATATTCCGTTGAGAGGGTTCATTCATAACGTTTCATTTTGAAATAATTTCAGATTTTTTAAGAAGTTTCAAAAAAGTACAAGAATTATTCTGCACCCTTCACACAGATTTTCTAAGCTAACATTTTACCTAACTACTCGTGCAATGATCAAAATCACAAAATCAACACCGACGGCACCTATTGTCATATCTGCAGACCTGCTCAGATCCCAGCTGTGTCCCAGCAGCTACTCCAGCCCAGCGTCCCTCTGGGTCAGTGTCTCTCTTGCTCATTCAGCCTCTTTGTCCTCTCAAGGTGGGACAGGCTCTGGGTCTGGATTCCCTCTGTGACCTGGGCCCTTCTGCAGAGTGGCACCTGCTGTCCCTGCTCCGGTTTCTGTCTCCTGTCCCCGATGTGGGCATGTGACAACATGGGTCTTGGTCACAGGGTGCCTGGCCATGTGTTTCTTGGATTCATCCTGTTCCAGGCCCACGGAGCTCCTCCAGTCCACAGGCCTTGGGTTTAGCTTTTTCCCAAACTGGACGGTTGTCAGCCAGTTTCCTGCAGCGCGCGCCCCACGCACCGTCCTCCTCCCCCTGGAAAGCTGGACTCGGCCGCCCCGGCCTCTCCCTGGTTTTCCTTGCCTCTTCTCCCTGCTTCGACTTGGATAAGTGAAGTGATCTGTCCTCAGGGGACTTAGGTCAAATGGTGCTTCTCTTTCTTGCCTTGTTCTGCTATTTATTTTGCAGATAATACTTCTAAGTCCTCGTTCCCGCTGGGTCATTCTGTGTGCTCTGCTTCCCTGCTGACAGTTCATGCCTCTTTGCTCCTCCCAAGAGTGTTTGCCTTTCCTCTTTGGAGAGTTTTTATACAATATGTTAAGGATGCTGTGCTGACAGTGCCAGCATCTGTGTCCCCCTGACTGGCATCTCTTCCTGCCCTCTTCCTTGCGACTTGAGATTTTCCTGATCTTCTGCATCGATGGCAGGATGGGTGGTGACAGGGCCACGTGCTGTGAGACGCTGAGTCTCATCGTGTTCGTTTCAGCAGGCAGTGCACCTGGTTGGGCTGCATGCAGCTGCAGACCGCTGCTGTGGGTGGCAGCCTCCTGGCCAGACTTTGAGCATTAGATCCCGGCAGCCAGTCTCGGAGGGTGGCAGCATGGTCTAGTGCTCACAGAACGCTGTGGAGGGCAAAGCCATGTCGGCTCAGCCTGGGTGTGAGCCTGGGACTGCATGGATGACTCACACGAGGTGGGCTTGCTTCCCAGTTCCCCTCGCACACGCTACCTGCCGTCTTTGCTGTTACCTGGGGCCCCTCTTTTTGGCCAGAGAGCTGGGTCACTCTCACTTCTACCCTGTAACAGTGCCGGGTCATGAGGGGGACGGGAGGGAGAGGGGCCAAGGGATTCGCCTGCCTCTTGGGCCCACAGCTCCTCTGCCTGGAAGCGAGCCCCCCTCGGAGTCCTGGATACCCACAGGCTCCAGTCCCACCGCCCCTCACTTCGAGAGGCCTGAGGGACACTCCTGGCACCCTCTCTGTCCATGCATGCTCTGTGTCCACTTGCAACTTGCAGGCAGGTCTGCCTTGTGGCACTGCCAGAAGAAATGAGAAGGGGACTTCCCACTAGTTTGGTGGCACTCCGAATTTCTGCCTGCTTCCCAATCTCCTGCGCTGTTTTCTGCGGCAGTCCTCCCGGGGCTCCTGGGCATTCCACTCGGCTCTGTGGCTGTGGGCAGCGTGGGGAGCAGACTGGGGCTCTGACCTGTGCCAGAACCAGTGGTGCCCTCAGCTGCACAGGAAATGCAGAGGGGCTGCCCTCTCCCGAGCATTTTAATTTGCATTTTTGACACCTCTTCATACATTTGAGTGGCATTGCGCATCGTTTTTTGCTAATTAGTTTTGCATTTTGCTCAAACTTTCCACCAAGCTTCTGCCTTTTCCCCACCCTGCCCAGTCCTCATGGCCGTGTGTGTACACGCGCTCACAACCCCATAGGAAATACGTCTATTTTCATGTACTCGAGTAGTGGTCTTTTCTGGATCTAGAGCTGCACCTGGGAAGCCCTCCCCCACACCCAGGTTAGACAGGTCCTCGCTTCCCATTTTCTTGTGGGTCTACTTAGTTCTTATGTACGATACCTGGATGCCTGAGTGCAGATCCGATCTGACTTCTCCGAGTAGCCGCTCATTTGTTTATGCACTGATTGTTTGAGACATCGACCTCTGGTCGGAGACCTGACCTCCTCCTCTGTGGCACCCTGCATTCCCTAGGTCTTCAGCTTCCCGAGCATTTCCTGGTCTTTTATTGTTCACTACATCCCCTACATCCAGGGGGCGCTGGTGCTGGGCAGTGGGTGGGCTTTCCCACTTCTCGAGTTTTGCACAGATGAATCAGTGGCGTGGTTGTCACCAAGTCGTCGATTTGTGTTTCCTCTTTATCCTCTTTCCATCTTGCCAGAGCTTCCCCCTTCTGTGAGGAGGCGGGCTTTGTAGGTCTGTTTGGGTATGCTCTTTACAATTTCACTGGGCTGCTTTCTGACTTCCTTAGTTCCAGATCTGAACCATGGTCTATTAATTTCTGCTCCCCTTTTTCCTGATGTGAAGGTTTGTACATTTCTCAAGAGCCACTTTCATTCAAAACAAAAGCTGCGATGATTCTTATCACCACTCAGCTCAAGGGACTGAAAACCCCTTTTAGAATTTCTTCTTTAACACGTGAACTAATTGAAACACATGATTTAATTTTTCCAAATATCTGGGTTTGGTAGGAATGCCTGCGGTCGGGGTGGCTGCACTGAGAAGCCTCCGCTGGGCCCTGTGACCTCCCGAGATGAAGTTCACATGCCCACGGAGCCATCCGCACGTCAGACCCAGAAGTGGCAGTCTCTGAACAGGAGTGTCTGGGGCTGTTGTTCTGGGCAAAGAGGACAGAGGAGATGTGGAGGTCACCCCCACAAGGTTGCCAAGGTCCTGCTACTGAGGGTCCCCAGCACTGCCACCCTCTGTGCTCTCAATTGCTCCCTTCTTTTCACACAGGCAGTCTGAGGAAAGACACCCAAGCTCAGTTTGCTGATTCAGGACCAAGACAGTGAGAGAAGCAGAACCAATGACCAGAGGCTCAGAAATGAAGACACCCAACCCGTATCACAAAGAGTTAAAACAGCCGCCACGCCTGTGAGCCCAGTGACTCAGGAGGCTGAGGCTAGAGGATCACAAGCTCAAGGCCAGCCTCGGCAACTTAATGAGACTCTATCAAAGTAAAAGTAACAAGGGCTGGGGATGGGGTTCGGTGGTGCAGTGGCAGAGCTACCCAGGCTCAGTACCAAAAAAGCAAAAGGAGTTAAAGCAGCACAGAGTGCGAGAATCAGAATCTGAATTGACAGCAACAGTCGGAGCAGAGGAAGGGGAGGGCAGGGCGTGGCCAGCTTGGAGCGGGCCAGGGGCAGAGACCTGACTGGGCATCCTCGTGGGTGAGCTGGCCTAGGGCCTGAGTCTCCCAAGGAATCGACAACAAGACCTCTAGATGTGACGAGGCGGGGCAGCAAGGCAGAGGTGCAGTTAATAGGCCGCTCCTTTCCCTATCCACCAGCAATGGGCAAAGGGAATCTGAAATTTTAAAAAGTAACTTTCAAAATAGCACCTTTTGTTTTTGTAAAAAACAAACAAAAGAAGTACAACAAACAAAAAAAAAAAAAAAAAAAGAAAGAAATACTTAGGTATTAATCTATCAAATGATTTCTATGTGGAAAAGAACAAGGCTCTGATTAAAGAAAATCTAAAATAATGAGGAGATACCCCATGTTCATGGACTAGAAGATTCCACACTGTTAGGGTGCCAGCTCTCCCCAGTTTGGTTTACACATTCAACACAATCCCAATCGAAATCACAGAAGGGCCAAGGGTGTAGCCCAGTGTCCAGCGTTGGTCTAGCACGTGTGAGGCCCTGGGTTTGACCATCAGAACCAGAAAAAAAGTTCGCAACTAGTTGTTTTGTAGACACTGACCCAATACTGAACCCAGGTTACGCCTGCCCACGTCTTCTCAAGAGAACTGGGCTCCAGGGGGAGCGCCCAAGCCCGCCCACCACAGCCGGATCGTCCCTCAGCACCTGTCTCCCTGCACCTCCATGCTGGGTGCCCCCGGCTCAGGGACCCAGGGACTCCTGAAGCCCAAGATCCCTGGAAAGCCAAGCAGCCCGACAGTGGGCGGGACTGAAATTCAGAGTGGGTTCTGCTTTAGCAGGGGGTCCTGGGACTCAGCAGTGGCCTCCGGGAATCAGGAGCCAGGCCCAGGGTCATGCAGACCTGCCGCGGGCCTACCGTGGCCCAGGGAGGGACGGCTGTGGGATGATGGGAAGCAGCAGGAGAAGGACGCCAGACCGTCCACACCAAGGTCCTCTCTCAGCAGCCCCTTCCTTCCTGACATCCATGTCCAGTGGTGCCCACTCTGCCTGAGCTCTACAGGGTTCTCCAGCTCCTCCCCGGTGACCCTCTGGGTCAGACGCCCAGCCCCCACCCACCAGGTCTCCCTTTCTTCAGCAGAACTGCCATGCGCCCTGCAGAATACCTGCCTCCACCCCCTGTCCCCTTCCCTCCTCACGCAGTGACCAGCAGGCCTCCTAGGGCCCAGACTCAAGCCTAGGACCTCCTGCTCACCTGGTGCTGGGTCCCAGCTTCAGGGACAGTCCTGCCTCAATGTGGCCACAGACTGGATGTTCTGTCCAGCGTGGCCACTCCATCCAGAGGCCTATGGTGGCTGTTGGGAGAGGGACAGGGATCTGAGGCTGGGGAGAGTGAAGGGGCAGGAGCCAGGCTGTGGGGCAGTGAGAGTTTATTGTCTCTGAGAGGAGGGAGCCGGGGGTCCCGGACACGGGTGGGGGGCCCACAGTGGAGCTATGAGAGTCGGGTGTGGGCCAGTCGTTCTGGCCTCGCCAGGCCCTTTCTCCCGTCACAGGGAATGGCCCTTCTCCATGAGGAGTTGGCCAGCATGCCCTGGCTTCTTGAGAAAAGGCATTGGACAGGGCAAATGGCAGGGTCCAGGGAGGGAGGCCAGATGGCAGCTGGAGGCGCAGGACAAGAGGAGTCACGAGGGGGTGCAGGGCAAGTCCTCACAACAGGGCCCAGAAGACACCCAGGCCAGGGCCACTTGCAGCAGGAGCCACCTGAACAGGGCCCAGGGTATCTCCAAGACGGCAGGCGCCGAGTTGCAGAGCTGCCCTGAGCAGCAGCGCCTGACAATCCTGCCCCGCAGCTCAGGGCTGGATGACCACTCGAACTCACTGTTGGAGTTTGGACAGCGGACAGCGCACCTCTTGCTGATCAGAATTCTGATCCTTGACCCTGCAGAAGATAGGAGACAGCAGGTGGCTCCAGAGCCCCCAGGTTAGGGAGAGAGGGGAAGGGGCTTGTCAGGAGGGCAGCTGGAACTGGCACTGGGGACAACCTCCTGCTGTCCCTTCACAGGTGAGGCCTGAAGAGCTGTGGGAGCATGGCTATCCAAGGTCACCTTCAACCTGGGGCACAGCAAAGAGGTGAGTGCTCTTCTCTGCAGCCAGATGAGGCCTCGGATCCCCTTCCAAATCAGTGCGGGCCAGTCGTGGGGACATGGGGCAAAGGAAGCAGAGTGGAAAGGACTGGTAGCTACAGAGAACCTGCTGGGTGCCCAGTGGGGCTCCAGGTCTCCAAGCTACTCATCCAAAGATGCAGAGGCTTCCGGAGGAGATCTGACTTTCAACAGCTATCAAGACACTAAAGGGCAGCCACCATCAAAACCCAACCAGAGAAAAGGCCATTTTGGGTAGAATTCAACTGTTATCTTACATTATATTTGTTCTCTTGTTGTTTGTTATGCTGAATTATGTTTTATTATACTGCCTTGTATTACTTACATTAAGTTGCAATATGTTATGTGGCATGGCACTACATTATGTCATACTGCATTGCAGCGTATCATGCCGATTACATTAGACTGCATCACGGCATGTTGTATTAAATCGCAATGCACTATATCACGTTGTACTGCACTGTATGACACATCACACAAAGTACATCGCTGCTCAGTGGCACGGGACTTAGGATAACTTGAGGGAATCCTCCAGCAAAGACAGTGAGCCACTCATTGACTGCAATGGCGGTGCAGACCTCAAGGTCAAGGCCAGGAGGCTCCTGCACAGGTGGCCCCTGAAGAGACTCTCACTTGATCTCCTGTCACACTGCCTTTCAGACCAAGAGCCAAAGGTGAAGGACGCAGTGCTAAATGAAGAGTCAAGCTGGGGAAAAGGCTTGGAAATTCCTTCATTTTGATTAACAAACGGGGAGGCTTGGATGGGGGCTGTCACTGTAGGGACACAGGAGCCTCATGCTTGAAGAACTGGTCTGATGGCCCTCCCTGCAGAAAACCCCACCTCTGCATAATGGCAAAGGAGGAAAAGAAGGCTCGTGCCCCACACTGAAACCGGGACAGTGGGACAGTCCTGTGAAGGGCGGTCCTGTCAGAGCCCACTCCACAGACTGCCTGCATGTTGCACAGGTGCCCACTTCAGAGATCTCCCTCAGGAAGCCGCAGGTGCCCTATGCATTTTCTTGAGTCATTCCCAGGGGATGAGGCCACAGGAGCCTTCCCGAGGTTCACAGGTGGGAGTGGGGTGTCCATAAATGAACCACACTGCATCCAGGCCCCTGGGACTTGAAGCCACAGGGAGAAGACATCTCCGCCAGACTGGCAGGTCCCCAGGGAGCCAGGTCCATCTAGCAGGAACCAGCACCAGGAGATGGTGTGTGCCGGGAACACTTCTGTCTGTCTACCTGGGTCTCTCTAGACTTCTTTTTATACTTTGAATAAAAGTGTTTGCACGAGCCTAAGAAACATGTTGGTGTTCTTCTTCACCATCTTTTCTAAGCGCGTTCTTAAAATGAAGCACTATCGCCTAAGTCCCCGCCCTGGAAGTGGTGGCCTCCGGGTCGCAGGGCAGGTTCTGTGTGCCGCTGCCCAGGGACTGCAAGGCCTATCCATCTTGGATGACCCTCCTTTTGCCTCCCTGCTCTTTTGCGAACTCAGCGACATATTGGGGCCTTTGTCCTGGTGTCAATCTTAGGGGGAGTGACATTTAAGAGTTGGTACTTCAAATGAGGGAGGTGGGGTGGAGGGTGGGAGAGAGGAGCCCAAAGCCCGGAGCCTATGGAGCCTACTCGTGGGCGGTGGATGAGGACCCAGGCGCGGCAGCTGGACGGACTCACTCCTGAGGAGGAACACCTCGTTGGAGACGCAGACTTGAGCGGTGGCGGGGCACACGGTGGGCTTACAGAGGCTCCAGCTGTTGACCTTGAAGCACTGGAAGCAGCTCAGGTTCTGAGTTGTGCGCTCCAAGGCGCTGCTGTGGGCAGAGCGCGCGCCCCGGCCCTTACTTGGCCAGACATCGGCGCGGGCGAGCTCCGTGGACACCAGAGCCGCCCACAGCGCCAGCACCAGCCGCCCCATGCCGCCCCCGCGGACCCTCTGCTGCAGCCCCGGGGTCCTGGTCCTGACCCGCGGAGCCTCCCGGGCGTCCGCGCGCTCTCCAGAAGTAGGGCAGGCAGCGCGGCCCCGGGGAGGAGCCAGCGGGGCGGGCGGGCGTCGAGTCTCCTCGACTGGCGCCTCTCGGGGCTGCTCGCGCGCCTCGGCCTGCGCCTGCTGCGTCCTCTTCTTTGGGTCGCAGACCCGCGCGGCAGGGCCCGGGGCTCCTGGAGAGAAGGCGCGAGGGAGAGGCGCCTCTGCAGAGCCGGGAGGTTGCGCGCAGCGGAACGCGAGCAGGTGTGTGTGTGTGGGAGGGGCTCATAGGCACTTTTCCTTCTTAGGTGACTGCTGCCCGAGGGCACTTGGCTGGCTGATCTGCAGGGGCAGCTTGAGCACCCACACTGCTGGTTCTTCCAATGGTCACACGCCCCGCTCTGATTCTATCAGACTCTTGTCCCACTCCGCGGGAAACAAGTGGCCTTTCCCCAGCAACCCAGCAACACAGCAGCCATCTCTGGGTGAAAAGAAGGGCTCTGGAATCCAGACTTTGTAACACAAGGAATGTGTTCATTTCCGATGTCTATCCTTATGTAAAATCACAAAGAGGAGAAAATAAAATAAAAATGCTCTTATAAAAGCACTAGGCAACTGGGCGGGGGATGTAGCTCAGTGGCAGAGGGCTTGCTTAGCGTGTGAGGCCCTGGATTCCTTTCCTAGCGCCACACGGAAAAAAAAAAAAAAAAAAAGCAACTGAAGAAAATCGACTGGCTGTAAAATCACACTTGAAGCCCAAACCCCCAGGGCTTCAAGATGCGCTGCGTTTGAAGACAGGGCCTATAAAAATGTTTGATTAAGATAAAATGAGTCCGTCGGGCAGATCCTGATCCAGTAGGACTGGTGTCCAGTTAGGAGAAGAGTCCAGGGCACACACATGTTCAGAGGGAGGACCTGGCAAAGACCCAGGCAGAAGGCACCCTCCACAGGCCCAGGAGGGGCCTCAGGAGGAGCAGGTCTGGGTCTTGGACTGCAGCCTCCAGGACTGAGGGACACACAGTGTGCCCATGCGACCCTTCTTCAGTCTCTTGATAAGGTGGGTCACAATGACTTATTCCCAGGTCAGTCTTGCATCTCTTACCCGTGGTTACCCTTGGAATAGGATCATTCTTACAATGTGCAGGAGTGTGGACTTGCTAATATTTCGGTAAGAGCTTGCCTTCATGTGCATGAGGAACGGACACGTAGCTGTGACATTCTTTTTTTGCACTATTTTTGTCTGGTGTTGACATCAGGGAAATTGGGACTTCATACAAGGAGTTAGGAAGGGTTTTCTCCCCTACTGTGGTAATGGTGGGATTCTTTAAATTTTGGGAGAATTCTCCAGTAAGACCAGAAGGATGTTGAGACTTGTTTCTTGAGTATTTTCAAATTAAGAACTCAGTTTCTTTGTAGTTGGAGCTGAGGATTCCTCTGTTTCATGTTGTGTGAGTTTGGGTAGTTTGAATCTTTTTTTCCTGTGGTGCTGGGGATTGAACCCAGGGCCTTGTGCATGAGAAGCAAGCGCTCGACCCACTGAGCCACATCCCCAGCCCTAGCTTGTGTTTTTGAGGAAACGGTTTGTCTCTGCAGCAGAGCTGACCCCTGCCTGGGTAGAGTGTGGAAGACAGCCCTTTCCAAAGCCGGTGCTCCGCGTCCTCGGTTTTCTCCTTTTCCCTCGGTTCCCTGGATTTCAGCTCTTATTTTACTCTTACATATTTCCCTTCCTTCTGACTCTTCCTGTTCTGCCCTGCAGGAGCTCCAGATCCCCATCCACCTGCACTGGGACTCCCTGCCCAGTGCGTCCACTCAGGCAGGACTCGTTTCTCAGTCCACTCAGATGTGCCCATGCAGGACTCAGCTGTCCTTTCTCTGGGCTGCTCTGCCCCCCTGATGCCTTGGGGAAGCCCTCATATGCACATGTCTGAAGCCATGGGGGTTCCCCAGCACCTCCTCTGCCCTGGCCTGCTCCCCCTATTTCCTTGGGTCCCCTCCTGGGCCGAGTTTGCACATTTCCTGGCGGTCCACCTTGGTGAGTGCTCTCCACAAGCATGAGAGGAGTGTGTCTTCTGTTGCTGATAAAGTGTCTTAAATGTCGGCCCATCTGGCTGACTGGTGCCTCTGCTGGTCCAGCTCCGTCCTGGTGGATTCTCTGCTGGGGTGTTACTGAGGGGGACACTGACGTCTCTGATTGTAGTGTGGCTTCATTCGCATCTGCCTGTGATGTTGCCGCCCTTGCCACTCATTATGGTGTGGTGTGGTGGCTCACTCACACTGGGCCTTTGTCTTCTCCGGGGGCGCCCCCTAGTGGCTTTTCCACACCTGGCCGTTTGCCTGATCCGGAGCCTCTGCTGTAGGGCAGCGCGGTCTCTGTTTAGCACTTTTGTGCTCTGTTTCTCCACCCTTCACTTTTGCTCGCCTCCTTCCTTGGTGCTGGCTTGGAGCTTGGGGACTCACGCACCAGGCACGTGCTTGGCCATTGAGTTGCACCTTCAGCCCTTTCGATTTTTATTTGAGACAGGGTCTTACTACATTTCTGAGGCTGGCCTTGAACTTGCCATCCTCCTGCCTCAGCCTGCTGAGTTGCTGGGACGGCACGGTGTGTGGCTCTCCATCCTTTGACCTCTGTGCGCGTGTGTGCACCTGGGCCCTTTCAGCGACCTGTCTTTGAGCCTGGTGCTTTCACCCGCTCCCTCCGGCTCTGTCTTTTGGTGCCGGGTCTGCACTGTCCACACTCACAGTGATGGCCACAGTTGGATCCTTGATTTCGGGACTTGCAGACCTTGTACTCATCACAGCTCTTCCCTGTTACTTTCAAAGCCCCTTTCTTGCTTCTTTGCCGTCGCTGGTTGTCACTGTGCATTTTACAATTCCATTTTGTCTCCTTGCAGCGTATCAGTCATGCTTCAATGACACTTTTGGTGGTGCCCTCGAGTTCGAGTGTCCCTTTACAACATTCACCTAACGTGACGTGCCTCCCAGACGTTTTAGGGACTCTGTGCAGATCAGCCGGGTCCAGCCCCGACCTTTTTATTCTTTCTCACTGTGGCTGAGACCACACCCTAAAGCCTGCCGGCTGGGGCTCTGATTGCTACGTATCCAATATCTTACCAAGACCAGAACAGGCAGAGCGCCAGCCATTTGGAGCCTGCTTGGTTTGCACACTGCAAACAGCTGCCACCTCTGGGAAGACGAGGGCTGAGGCCTGTGGCTGTGCGCAGCTCCAGCTCTGCCAGGCCCCTGGCGCACTGCGAGGCTCCCCGGAGGTGGGTGAGCCCTTCTCCATCTTCTGCCCTGGGCCTCCCTGGCTCTCCTTCCCTTTCGAGCAGTGACGGCCACGTTGTGCTACTGGACAGACTCCTGTCTGGGAACTTCCCCATGAGGCCACCTGTCCAGGACCCTCCCACAAGCACGTGCTACTCCATGTGGCAGTTGGGTGTCCCCCTGGCCAGGCCCGTGAGCTCCCTGTCTCCTCTAGTGGTGGCCATTCCTCCACTCACCTGGGCCTCCCAAGCCCAGAGACTGCAATCACTCACCCAGTCACTTGTACACTACAGTTGAAAAAAAGTCTATGGATGAACCTTTATTTTATTCACTTACTTATATGCAGTGCTGAGAACCGAACCCAGTGCCTCACACAAGCCAGGCAGGCTCTGCCACCGAGCCACCACCCTGCCCCTCCCCCAGGCCTGCGGTGGTGGACAGATCTGTTGATGCTATTTTTACTCTGACAGTTGTTCACTGGGTTACAGTGAAAGAAAAAGAAAGGCTCTATTTCACCTCCAGTGATTCCTTCCCAAGTGCTCTTTCATCCCGTTGTGAATCCTGTCTCCTGACCTATATCATTTTCCCTCTCTCTGAAGAGCTTCCTTTTTTAAAAGGATGATAAATTTCTTATTTGAGGGGCAAATATTCTAATAAACTGTCTGAAGAGCTTCTTTTGACCTTCCTTGGGAGGCAGCTCTTGTGCCCACAGTTCCATCAGTTGTTTTGACTGAGAAATCTCCCCCTCCTTCACTTTTCATAGTGGGGTTCATTTGGGGGGGGTGTCTTGGGGATTGAACTCAGGGGCACTCAACCACTGAGCCACATCCCCAGCCCTGTTTTTTAAAATTTTATTTAGAGACAGGGTCTCACTGAGTTGCTTAGTGCCTCGATGTTGCTGAGGCTGGCTTTGAACTCCTGGTCCTCCTGCCTCAGCCTATTGAGCCACTGGGATTACAGGCGAGCACCACTGCACCTGACTCATTCCTAGTTTTTGAGGAACGTCCACACTGCTTTCCAGAGTGGTTGTACTAATCTGGAGTTCCACCAACAAAGCTTCTACCTCCCCCATAGTTTTTACTTTTTTGAGACAGGGTTTTGCTACGTTGCCCAGGCTGGCCTTAAACTTGTGACCCTTCTGCCTCGACTTCCTGCACGGCTGAGGTTATAGGCTTATGCCACTGTGCCTGATTTATTTATCTATTTATTTTGTGCTATTGGGGATTAGACCCAGGGTTACTCTTCACTGAGCTACACCCCCAACCCCCTTTTTAACATTTTTATTTTAAGGCAGGGTCAGGCTGAGTTACCTGGGGTGGCCTTGCGTTTGGAATCCTCCTGCCTTGTAGTCCACAGCGGCTGGACTGCGGGCATAGGCCACCACACCCAGGTAAGATCTTAATTTTTTTTCTTTTTAAAAAATAAATGCAAAAACCTACCAAAGTCTACGTTGCCCTACAACAACTTCAGCTGCCTAGATCTAAATCTGTTTACCCTCTCTAGCAAGAAAAAAATGGTGCACATAACAGGGAGACAGCAGAACCCCTCGGTTCTCGTACACTCCACACACATGGAAGGTGGAAACACCGCGAACCACAACTCCTCTTGGGCGGGAGACGGGGCCTTGTTCTTGCTCCCGCACTCATGGGCAGAACCCATGCTGTGTCCAGAGACTGGGGGGCGGGGGGCATCCAGGAGCGCGGGGAGCAGCAGGCAGCCCCTCAGAGGGACGTCTGCTCAGTGGCCGTCTTAGGTGGAGGAGGGAGGGAGACAGCACAGCGTCCTGGATGGCAGAGGGCGTGGGAGCAGGTGTCCTGGGGAGCAGAGCATGGGAATGAGTGCCCCCCGGGGACCTTGGTAGCAGATGCACAGAGGGACACAGGCTGCAGCATCAAGAGCTGCACAGCTTGCTGGGGCCCCTGAGCTGAGCGACTCCTCCGGGGTCTGTGTGACACCCTTGCAGCTGGCCTCACAGGTGGAAAAGGACATCCTCGGCCACACGTCATGCTCTGAACCCAGCCCTGCTTCTCCCTCTCCTCCTCTGACCTCTCTCCCTCCCTAATCTCCCCTCCTAATCTCAGGGAAACAGGAACCCTTCCTCCTCATCTGGAGTTATCTGTCCTCAGATACAACCAACACAGGAACCAAGTAACTCACATTTCAGGGCTGGTGCCAGAAAGTCTAAGAAATCTCCCAAGTTAACAAGGAATTCCAACCCCTGCGGCTGCTCAAAGCTCGGCCCTTGACCCCAATGCCAACCCAATGATGAACACATGGCTGCGAGAAAAAGGAAAAAGAAGGCTTATTGCTTTGCCAGCAAAGGAGAAACACAGGGGACTCGCGTCCCAAAGGCTGTGGTTCTGCCGTCAGCAGGAACAGGGGGCTTTTCCAGAGGGGAGTCGAGAAAAGGAGACCAGGGAGGGAGATGGGGAGGAGAAGGTCAGGGAGGAGATCAGGGAGGAGACGGCTGGGGAAAAGGAAACACAGGCAAGTTTCAAAGCCACCAAGGATATAGTCGAAGCGTCAAGTGAAGCCCTGGAAAGTAGCCGAGGAATCACCTCTTTGGGATCCTCTTTCAGCCTCCGGAGTAGCTGGTGCTATTGGAAGCCTGGTCCTTCTCCCCAGTGCACTTTGATAATGAAGATTCTGAGAGTAAGGAAGAAGGTTTATTGCTTTGCTAGCAAAGGAGTAACTCTTGTCTGGAAGTGTGTGATTCTGCCCATCAGCAGGGGACAGGGGGCTTTTCCAGAGGTGACTCAGAGGCTACCTGCCCTGTGCCCTCTGTTGGGGCTGTGATTCACTTGTCAAGTCGGGGACAGTCACTTCTGAGGTCTTCTGGTGCCATCCCCAAGTCTGGATTCCTATGATGGGGGTGTACTGGGGACAGATCACTGTGCCTGGGGTGGGGAGGAGAGGTCCTCCTGTTCCCCCTGAGGTTAGGGAGGGGAGAGGCTGGGGAGCAGCAGGGAGAGGAGGAGAGAAACACGCCCACTTTAAAATAAGTCGCAGTGGCCGAGCAGCAAGGCTGGGTTCCAAGCATACAGTGGACACTGTTACAGTAGAACAAGGCTGGGTTCTGTCCCCAGAACTGCAACCAATCAATCAATAAAGTGTGAGAAACAGAAAGTCATGTTTAGAATATCATGTTTATCCTGAATTGGGATGTAAGATCCAATCGCAGCCATGGTAACCACAGCCCTTCCCTTGTAACCCCAGCTCCTCCCAACAGGTCAGGGGCACCCTGCTTTAGGGATAAAAGGTGGCCCCCCGCCCAGGTGCGCTTGCTTGCCTGGTTTTCTCGTAGCTGGCCCTCCTGCAGAGGAGCGTCTGCCTTGCTGAGCCGTGTGATTCCCTGGGGCACCCCGGGATTCCTTTTTTTGGCACTAGGGATTGACCTCGGGGGCACTCTGCCGCTGACCCACATCCCCAGCCCTATTTTGTATTTTACTTAGTAACTGAGTAACACCTAGTGTGGCTGAGGCTGGCTTTGAACTCGCCATCCTCCTGTCTCAGCCTCCCCAGCTGCTGGGGTGACAGGCGTGTGCCATCATGCCCGGTGTACCCTGGGACTTCTACAAACAAAACAGACGTCTGTGGAGAACTGTAAGGAGACACGAGGTGGCCCTCCGGCAACGTAAAGGGTTCTATTCAGCCGTGTGGCCAGGCAGTCTCTGTGCACCCAGATGTACGACCCCGGGGTCCTCAGGTCCCTGGGGGGGCACAGCCTGCACTAGACAGCCAGGGGCTTCAGCAGTGCCATCCAGACGACCAGCAAGGGACTTTCAGATTTGTCTGGGCTCCACTGTGAAGAGCCTCGCATTCCATCTAGAAGGTCCTTACTCGGTTAGCATCTGGACGGCCATCTTAAGTGACAGCCGCCATTTTAAGGAAAAAGTTCGGCTTTCCCACCCAAACTGAGAAAGGCTCACCACTTCCTCCTACCAACCCCACCCCTAACCACCCACGTTAGGACCCGCCTGGCGCTGACCCAAGCCTGCCCCGCAAAGGTCCCAGAACCCAAGCCTGTCCGCCTCTCTCCTTCACACAGATGGCCTTCATTTCTCAGCTCTGACAAATGAACTTGTGTGTCTGCCTGCTCTCCGTCTTTCATGTCTCGCTTACCGTCTGGTTCCTCGCTGTCCCTTCACCATCCAGCAGTGCAGACGCGCCCTTCCCAGGTGCCCAGGGAGCTCCTCCGCAGAGCACCTGTCAGGAC